CCCGCCCCGGACAGGCCCGGCGCTGACCGCCGCCTCCCGCAGCCCGACTGCCACCTGCATCTGCACCTGCGCTGGGCGGACAACCCCTACGTGTCCGGCACCGTGCACACCAAGGAAACCGCCCCCGGCCTCATCATGGGCGCAGGTGCGTGGGCCCTGCCGGCCGCGTCCCCGCCTCGGGCGTGCCCGTCCCAGGGAGGCCAGGGTGTGGGTGCCCGCCGGGCCTGGCGCAGCTCCTGGGGAGCTCGGCTCGCCGCGACCCTGTCGCAGGAACGCAAGGCCCAGCGTGGACAGCTGGCGCGGAGGCCGCTGGGCGGAGGTGGGTGGGGTGACCGGACCCCACTCCGGGCAGCCCTGTGCTGACTCATCGGCTTCGGGACACTCGGCCTCCTTCGGAACTTTCCAGGGACGGTGGGGCCTGACTGCAGAGACACTAGAACCTTGTGCGCACAGATCAGACTCCTGTATACGTGCTCACGGGCCCCTGTGGGGCCTCTGAGTGCCCCCCGCGGCCAGCCCTGCACCTGGGCGGGCGCCTCCCGAGCCCGTCTCTGGGCTCCGTCCATCCTGCAGCGACCGGGCCGTCTGTCCTTCCCGGGGGTGGGGTGGCAGGGGCAGACAGGCACGGCAGCCGGCCTGGCAGGGGTGGCAGGCCCAGGCGTGGCCTGGGGAGGGGAAGCTGGCCCCCTAAAAGCGCACCACCCCTTCCCCCTGGACCAGGGAACCTGGGCGCACAGCTGGTGGAGTATAAAGAAGAGATGTACATCACGTCGGACTGCGGGCACACCTGGCGGCAGGTAAGGGCACTGCGCGGCCTCCGGGCTGCAAAGGGAGAGCGCGCCTGGCCGGCTGCCTCCCGGAACTCTGTGGAGATGCCCAAGGAGACGTCCGGCCCCTGTGTGCCCCGCCCACCGTGTGGGAGGGCGGGGGCTGCCTCTGCCCGCTACAGCCCAGGGCGCGTGCAGACGGAAACCTGACCCACGGGTGGTGGACCACCTTGGCCAGCGCCTCCCGTGGCCAGGGCCTCCCCGTGGCCAGGGCCTCCCCGTGGTCAGCGCCTCCCCGTGGCCAGGGCCTCCCCGTGGCCAGGGCCTCCCCGTGGCCA